TTCACATGTAATTTGTCATTGGTAATAGGTTGTAGCCTGTGTATACCCAACATGAAGAATATTATCCTATTTTGTGAAAAAAGGTCTTACTATAGATGGTATGATTGTAAAGCAATGAATATGATCTCCACTGTTTACACAAGAACTTTGTTGTAATTGTGTCTTATGATATTAATAATAATAATTTGTTGTTCAGTCGTTTTTCAGTCATATCCAACTGTTTGTGACCCTCTTTGGGGTTTTCATCGTAAAGATACTGGAGTGGTTTGCCATTTCCTTCTCCAAATAATAATAATAGTTAACATTTATAAAGTGTTTTAAGGTTTGCAAAGAGTTTTACAAATGTTATCTTGTTTTATCCTCACAGCAATCCTGGAAGGTAGGTGCTACTATTATCCCTATTTTACAGATTAGGAAGCTAGGGCAGTCAGAGGTTAAGTGACTTGTCCAGGGTCACACAGCTAGTTAGTGTCTCCGGATAGATTTGAAATCAAATCTTCCTGACTCCAAGACCGATGTTTCTATCCTCTGTACCATCTAGCTGTGTTTTGCTAGTTATTAAACTTATAATATAAAAAGTGTCTCAAGCCAAATTTTATATATAATTTCAGACACTATTTCAAATGTTAGTTTACATTATGAAATAATTTGTAGTCAATTCCTTGTAGTAAGGTTACAGGCAATCAATTTCTCTTATTTCTTTTCAGATACATGGCCATGGAAGCTATGACTCTGATTTTAGTGATGATGAGAACTGTGGAGAACCTAAAAAAAGAAAAAGGTACCTAACTCTTATCTTAAATTTTGTGCAGAATATTTGCATACCTCTGCAGATGATTGTATTTCTAATGAATAAAAATTTCTTTCCAGTGAACTGTGATGCTTTGACTCAGATGCTGAGAATTGTTTTGAAAAATTAAGAAAATGATGTTGGTGCTATAGGATGGATTTGTTGGCAGTGTATGTTTTTCAGAAAACAGAAGGAAAAAAGATCAAAGCTGTTAGGTCCATCTGTTGCATATATTATTCATTTATGAAACATGCTTTGCTTAAGATTTTGTTAACTCAGAGAATTTGCCTGATCTATTTTCTTTCCTAATGCTTTGCTGCAAAATGAAAGCCAAGAGTCTAAGGCCAAGTTCAAATAGTAACTTGGATGAATGGACTGGGCCTTTGATTGTAATTAAGATGCGTAGAGAGAGTCTAGCTGATTAATTCAACTAGGCCTTTTGGATGACTGTACCTTGGCAAGATCACCATGTTCCAGGGTCCCTTAGCTTTGTAGGTTTGGAAATTTGACTTTATAAATTCATCGGGGGTGATCAGGTTTTTAGGTGCTGATTCACATTAACCTAACTCAGAAGAGACTGATTTAGGTTGTCAATTTATTAATGTATAATGGAAAATATATACTTGTTACAGTAACTGGGATCTGTCATATGCACATAAGGCACTCCTGGTAGATATATTAACTAACACCAAATTATAGCTGAAAAGGTTACTTACTGAGAATAGCATTAGGACAAAGGGAGTTTGATGTTCTTCAAGCAGCATTTCTGTCACACTGTGGTAGCTTGGTGAATTGCCTTTCTCCAGTTCAGAAATCTTCTATTTAACCTACCAGCATTTATTGTCTAGAATCTTGGAGTTTGTCTTCCTTTCGATTGTGCTAGAGAAACATAAACATTTTTTACTAGCCAACTCTTGATTTTACTTATCAAATTTCTGGCTTTACCTTAAGTTATAGTTTCCCAGATTGCATCATTGTGTAGTAAAAAGGGCACTAGTTATGGAGTCAGAGGACCCCTGTAGAGATGTGGCTCTGACACTTCTGTTGTGTGACGATGAATGTGTCAGTTTCTTTAAACTTCATTTTTCTCATCTGTAAAATGGGGATAATGGTGCACACATTTATATAGCATTTTATCTCTTTATTACCCACCTCATGGGGTAAAGTGTTCTGTAAACCTTAAAATACTGCATAAAAGTGAGTTACTATTATAAATTATACTTCAGTATATTGTTTTCTTAATGAGATTTTAGGGATATACTCTCCCCTCATCAACATTTCCCCCCCAGTCAGAATTTCTTAGGACATTCTACTTCTGGCAAGATTTTCATGGGTAAATAATCCACCAATTTGTTTAAATTGTTCTTAACACAGTCAATCAATTTATTCCACTTTGTGATCGAGAATTTTGAAATTCCTCCAACTAACTATAACCTCCTATCATTCCATCTCTCTTTATGCCTCATTCCTCTTAAACCCATTCTCCATTCTCACCATGACTTCCAGTCTACCTGTCTTCTCCCATCCTGTCACCTCCAGTCTGACTTCACTTTCCTCTCTTCCCAATCTTGATCCTGTAGTTAATCAGCTTGACATTACTCTCAAACCTTTTCCTCTTGTCTTAATGTTGCTCAGGCTTTATCCAACTCCAATCCTAAATTACCCCCTAGCTGTCTGCCTCTTCCACTCCTATTCTCATGCTGCTGGAGGGTGCTGAAGGGAGTCACACTGATTGGGTCCACTACAAAATTGTTACGTAATGTCAAGTCCCTCTGTCTCTAATGTTTTTGGGTTCCTATCCTGCTACTTGCAAACATGCCCAGGTCTCCCTCATCCTGAGACAACTCCCGCTAGACCCTTCCATCTTCCCAAGCTATCATTCTTTACCTCTCTACCCTTTCATAGTCAAAGGCCTAGAGAAAACCATTGATATTTGTTGTCTCCATTCCCTCTCCTCTTTTCTCCATTTATTCACTTCTCAGCCCCTTGTCATATGGCTTCCAGCCTCATCTCTTAACTGAAGCTGTTCTTTCCAAAGTTACCAGTGATCTTTTACTTTCAAAATCTGATGGTCTTTTCTCAGCATTTAACCTTCCTGACCTTTCTGCAGCATTTGACATTGCTCATCCCTTTCTCCTAAATCCATCCCTTTCTCCTAAATCCACTTACCTTTTTGGGTTTTTGTGATGCTGATCTCTGTTTGTTCTCTGAACTGATCATTCCTTCTTAGTCTTTGCTGGATCATCATGAATTTCCTGCCTCCTAACTGCGGGAGTACCTCCAAGGCTCCGACCTGGGCCTTCTTTTACCACACTCTCTCTCAGTAACCTTATCAGCTTTCATGGGTTTTGGTCCTGTTTTTGCAGATAAGTCCCAGATCTACGTGTTCAGCCGTAATCTCTCTTGAGTTCTAGTCTTTTGTCACCAAGGCCTTTAGAACTTCAGCATATCCAAAACAAAACTCATTATATGTTTTCCTCTAAGCACCCCCCATGCCCCTTTCTAATTTCCCTATTTCTGTTGAGAGTTCCACCTCAGTCACTTTGGAATCATCCCTCTCTCTTTATTGGAGTCATCCCTCACTCCACATATCCAGTTGGTTGCTAAATCTTGTCACTTCTGCCCCTCAACATCTCTTGTATTCATCCTCTTCTTTCCGCCCTTATAGCCCCCACTAGCCTTACATCATCTCCTATCTGGACTTTGACAATAACCCCTTAATTGTTCTAGTCTCTAGTCTTAATTGTCTCAGGTCTCTCCCCTGTCCAATCCATTCTCCAAGCATCTGCCAAAATGGTAGGTCTGATGATACCATTCCGCTGCTCGTTAAGCTCTGTTGGTTTCCTATTACCTCAGGTCAAATACAAACTCTGCTGGCATGTAACATCCTTCACAATTCGTTCCAGCCGATTGTTGGACAGTTGGGCAGCTAGTGCTGGGCCTGGAGTCTGGAAGCCATGATTCAAATCCAGCTCAGGCACTTACTAGCTGTATGATCCTGGGCAAATCACTTAACTTTTGCCTCAAATCCAGCCTCAGTCACTTACTAGGTGTATGATACTGGGCAAATCACTTAACTTTTGCCTCAGTGTTCCTCAGCTTTAAGATGGAGATAGTAGCTCCGATGTCATAGAGTTATTGTGAGGATGAAATGAGATTCCAGCCTACCTTTCCAGACTTATTATACATCACTCCCCTTCATATAATCTAAAGTCTAGTTAAACTGACCTTTTTGCTTTTCTTCATATGTGACATTCTATCTCCTGTCTCTGTCCCTTTGCACAGACTTTTCTTCATCCCTGAAATACCCTTCCTTCTACCCTCTACCTGCTAGAATCCATAGCTTCCTTCAAAGTTCAGCACAAGTGCCACTTTTTATATAAAGCTTTTCCTAATTTCCCTCAATTTTTTACTTTAAAAAAAATATATCTATGTGTGTATAGTTTGTTTCTTCACATATGTCAGCTCCTCGAGGACGGGGGCTGTTTCATGGGCTTTGTATTCTCAGTACCTAGTGCCTAGTAGCATTTAATAAATGTTTGTTTGTTGCTTAAGTGTTTCCAAATTAAGGAGATGTACCTTATGTGAAGCCTCTAGCCTTCAATTTACTGGCTGCAAATAATTTTTTTTTAATGAGAACAGTCTAGCTCTGAAGTTGTCCACAGATGCATGCTGCTGTCAGCACATTATATCACTTGCCTTTCACTGGTCGTAGATTTTACTGGACAAGTTATTAAATCAGTTTGAGAGTGTTATACCTTATGTGCTATGCAGATTGCATTTTCATTACTAATCTCAACAGTTGAAGTAAGATGTTACATTCCGTTAATTTTTGTGTTTTTTTAACTGGACATGTAGATGTTTTTTACCCCAGAGCTTTGTACTATAGAAAAATATTTTCATGATTCCACCATCTTCCATTTGTGATTATTATCCAGTACAGCAAAACTATGCTGATGTTCCATTTCTGGAATACTACAATTTTTGCAATATTATCTTGCTATTTAGTGTATAATAGGATCATTCTTAGAATTATAGACTTAAAGGTGGAAAGGGACCATGATGATCAAGTCAGATTCCCTGATAGTGGTGCTCATGTGTGTGTGTGTATGTGACTTGTTAGTTTTCTAATGTAATGGTACTATAAAATCCACAGTTATAAAATTATTGAAAAAGTTGTCCATACATTTTGTTTTCACTTCTGACTTTCTTCTTAATTGTTTTCAATCCTTTTCTCACCTCTCAAAGGCCATCAGTGACCTAATTACCAAATCTGATGACCTTTTTTGGATTCTTATCCTCTTTTATCTCTCTGCGGCATTTGATACAGTTGGCTATTCCCTCTATTGGGTACTTCCTGATCTCTTGGCTTCAGTGATCCCATTGTCTCTTTTTTTTTTACCATGTTTCTAACTGCTAGTCTTCCTTTTCCTTTATTGGTTCCTTATTGTCTTTCCAAATTCTTTGTGTGAATATTATCTCTTATCTTGAGTGATGAACACAAAAGTTAATTTCTGACCTCTCAGTGGAAGTACTATAAAATACTATAATATTTATGTGTGGAAAATAGTAACTAGTAATTGAATGTAGTATTACCAGCTCATGCTAGCAACAAAACATCAAAGTAAGAAGTGGAAACATGCCAAAACTTTAAAAGAGTAGATATGTTAGAATCATAATTGAATTTTTCACTAGTTTTTTGACATCTTTGATGCTGTTTATGCATTATTCATTCTAAATACAGTGTAGTGCATACAGTACACACTCAAATATTTGTTGAATTGGATTTAATTCATATATTGGTCAATTATTTTGTGTAAGGTGCTGTGGTTTGATAGTATGAAAGAAGAAGAAAGGGAGTAAATGAAGCATAGGCATAGAATGTGATGATTGGCAGGGACCTTAGTCTTATACTCTAACCTTAACAAGATTCTGTTCCATAACATTTTTACCAAGTGGTCATCCTGCCTTTGCTTGAAAATTTCTAGCCA